CTGTCTCCCAATTGCTCTCCTGTGTTGTCACCTGTCACACGGGCTTCCCATGGGGACTACAAATGTTGATGAAATGTTGCCCTGCAGAAGCGGACTCTTCTTCTATACCATATATATTATTATCGGGGGACTCGTATGTGTCATGTCAATGTTGAATAATAAGGTACATATGTGCTTAGCGTGTGTTTCATTTATATCTATATGTTTCTGTTATTAGTTTACATAAACAATACGGAGAAAACACAAGTCACCATCACATGTCACATGAAAGACTCTCCGCATAATAAACTATTAGATCATGTCATACACGGCACAGGAAGGTGTGACACCTCGTATGATCACATGTACTATGTAGAGGAAGGTATGACACCTCGTATGATCACATGTACTATGTAGAGGAAGGTAAGTCACCTACTATGATCACATGTACTATGTAGAGGAAGGGATTTCATCATATATGATCACATGTAGTATGTAGAGGAAGGTATTTCATCATATGTGATCACATGTAGTATGTAGAGGAAGGTATTTAATCATATATGATATGTACGATGTGGAGGAATGTATTTCATCATATGTGATCACATGTAGTATGTAGAAGAAGGTATTTCATCATATATGATCTCATGTAGTATGTAGAAGAAGGGATGACACTTTCTATGATCACATGTACTATGTAAAGGAAGGTATTTCATCATATATGATATGAACTATGTAGAGGAAGGTATTTCATCATATATGATATGAACTATGTAGAGGAAGGTATTTCATCATATATGATCACATGTATGTAGAAGAAGGAATGACACTTTCTATGATCACATGTACTATGTAGAGGAAGGTATTTCATCATATATGATATGTACTATGTAGAGGAAGGTATTTCATCACATATGATCACATGTAGTATGTAGAAGAAGGAATGACACTTTCTATGATCACATGTACTATGTAGCGGAAAGTATTTCATCATATATGATATGTACTATGTAGAGGAAGGTATTTCAGCATATATGATCACATGTAGTATGTAGAAGAAGGGATGACACTTTCTATGATCACATGTACTATGTAGAGGAAGGTATTTCATCATATATGATCTCATGTAGTATGTAGAAGAAGGGATGACACTTTCTATGATCACATGTACTATGTAGAGGAAGGTATTTGATCATATGTGATCACATGTAGTATGTAGAAGAAGGAATGACACTTTTAATGATCACATGTACTATGTAGAGGAAGGCATTTCATCATATATGATCTCATGTAGTATGTAGAAGAAGGAATGACACTTTCAATGATCACATGTACTATGTAGAGGAAGGTATTTCATCATATAGGATATGTACTATGTAGAGGAAGGTATTTCATCACATATGATCACATGTAGTATGTAGAAGAAGGGATGACACTTTATATGATCACATGTACTATGTAGAGGAAGATATTTCATCACATGTGATATGTACTATGTAGAGGAAGGTATTTCATCATATATGATCACATGTAGTATGTAGAAGGGATGACACTTTCTATGATCACATGTAAAGGAATGTATTTCATCATATATGATATGTACTATGTAGAGGAAGGTATCTCATCATATGTGATCACATGTAGTATGTAGAAGAAGGGATGACACTTTCTATGATCACATGTACTATGTAGAGGAAGGTATTTCATCATACAGTATATGATATGTACTATGTAGAGGAAGGTATTTCATCATATATGATCACATGTACTATGTAGAGGAAGGAATTTCATCATATATGATATGTACTTAGTAGAGGAAGGTATTTCATCATATATGATCACATGTAGTATGTAGAAGAAGGGATGACACTTTCTATGATCACATGTACTATGTAGAGGAAGGTATTTCATCATATATGATATGTACTATGTAGAGGAAGGTATTTCATCATATATGATCACATGTAGTATGTAGAAGAAGGGATGGCAATTTCTATGATCACATGTACTATGTAGAGGAAAGTATTTCATCATATATGATATGTACTATGTAGAGGAAGGTATTTCATCATATATGATCACATGTAGTATGTAGAAGAAGGGATGACACTTTCTATGATCACATGTACTATGTAGAGGAAGGTAAGTCACCTCCTGTGATCACATGTGCTAAGTAGAGAAAGGTAAGTCACCTTGCATGATCACATGTTCTATGTAAAGGAAGGTAAGTGACCTTGTATGATCACATGTACTATGTAGAGGGAGGTATGTCACCTCATATATTCATATGCATACTAAGAGCTGACCACAAGCTCTGATGTTACATAGTATTTGAGGTTGAATAAAGACACAGGTCCATCATGTTCCACCTTTGTCATGTTCTTTGTATGTTCGGTATGAGCCGGTTGGCTCTGACATGCCTGCGGCGATGCCTGCGGTCACATATGACTCGATCTGTACCGACCAGTGTGCCGTCACCCGGCGGTATAACGAAGCCACCCGGGACGTCATGAGAACATCTCCTTCATCTTCTCATACGTGCCATTCGCGGCGGTGACATGAAATGTAACACATGCAAAGAAAAGTCGTCTTACCCAACACGTATGAGAGGATCAAGTTCCAGCCGGTGGTGAACGCCCACATCTCGCCCACCGTCACATAGCTGTACAGGTAGGCAGAGCCGGTCTTGGGGACCCGCGCCCCGAACTCGGCGTAGCACAGTCCGGCCAGCACGGAGGAGAGGGCTGCACACAGGAAGCACAGGATGATGGCCGGACCGGCTTTCTCGTTGGCGACCTCGCCGGCCAGAACGTAGACCCCGGCGCCCAGCGTGCTGCCCACCCCCAGGGCGATGAGGTCCAGCGTGCTCAGGCATCGGACGAAGCACGACTCTTTGTTGCCGGGATCCAAAGCTCTCCTTCGGAGCAGCTTCTTCCCGAACCGGAACAGTCCCCCGGCACTCATCCTCTCTGTGGTTTATTGAGGTTCTCGGCAAAGCTTTACGGAGTCCGGAGAACTCTTGTCAGAGAGCACGCGTGTGCAATGGCGACCGCTGCCACCACTTCTGGAGGGAAGACGGAGAAAAGGCGGCTAGGCTGTGACAGCGGAGAGCTTTATGTAGTGTCTCCAGGGGGGGCGGGGTCACCGAACTCTTTCTTTTGACATCCCTGCATCCCTCCAGAGGGGCGTCCTACTGAATCCGTTCACACATGGATACATTGTATCAGTCAATCACTCCACGTGTCACAGTGTAGCCAGAGACAAGACTTGTTTATTATTATGTATTTATTTCACTTCCTGTCTCAGAGATGCAACAGGAAATGATAACGCCCGTCAGTCTTCACAGTTGTCCCGGCTCCTCTTCTTCTGATGTCACTGCGAGCTCCTCACAGTGTGCATTAGAAGCTGCAGCCAATCACTCCGCGTGTCACAGTGTATCCAGAGAAAAGACTTGTTTATTATTATGTATTTATTTCCCTTCACTTCCTGTCTCAGAGATGCAACAGGAAATGATAACGCCCCGTCAGTCTTCACAGTTGTACCGGCTCCTCCTCCTCTGATGTCACTGGGAGCGTCTCACAGTGTGCATTAGAAGCTGCAGCCAATCATTTCACGTGTCACAGTGTATCCATAGACAAGACTTGTTTATTATTATGTATTTATTTCCCTTCACTTCCTGTCTCAGAGATGCAACAGGAAATTATAACGCCCCGTCAGTCTTCACAGTTGTCCCGGCTCCTTCTTCTCTTCCTCCGATGTCACTGCACACTGCGAGCTCCTCACAATGTGCATTAGAAGCTGCAGCCAATCAATCTGCGTGTCACAGTGTATGCATAGACAAGACCTGTTTATTATTATGTATTGATTTCCCTTAACTTCCTGTCTCAGAGATGCAACAGGAAATGATAACGCCCCGTCAGTCTTCACAGTTGTATCGGCACCTCCTCCCCTGATGGCACTGTACACTGCGAGCGCCTCACAGTGTGCATTCGAATCTGCAGCCAATGACTCCGCACGTCACAGTGTATCCAGAGACATGACTTGTTTATTATTATGTATTGATTTCACTTCCTGTCTCAGAGATGCAACAGGAAATGAGAACGCCCCACCGGTCTTCACAGTTGTAACGGCTCCTCCTCTTCCTCTGATGTCACTGCACACTGCAAGCTCCTCACAATGTGCATTAGAAGCTGCAGCCAATCACATGGAGCCTGCCTCATTTCCTGGCTGGAGGGCATCCAGCATTATCTAGCCTGACTGTCCCTGACTCCGCCCCCTTTCATTCATTGGATTTCAGTTCCATCAATCATACAGGCTCAGCATCACATGTCATGTCTTGTCAGCAGCATCTGCCTGCCTAGGAACACCCACCCACCAAGGTATTGTGATGTTTGCATAACTCCTCCCACTGCTTGCACAGTTCTCATATGGCTCCTGAGAGGGGTACTGAGGCAGGGAGCTGTGATGTTTTCAGGACGCTATGTGCAGCCCCCTCCCACCAGCCATGATCTGCCTGCATTGCATAGAGCAGCACAGAGACCCAGTGTCTATATTAAAGTATGTAAGACTTTTAGCTGTAAAGAAAAGAATAAATATCCATCATGGCGGCACCTCGTTGAGGACGTGGGGAGTCATTGTGACCTGTGATGAGCATTACCGCATTACTGATGATCTATGTTCTCCGTCTCTCCCCGGCGCGCTGATATCCACCGATCAATAGACTTCCTGATGGAGGGGACGCCGGATATCAATCACATGTCACAGATCTCAGCGGGTGCAATCCATCTGACTTCACAGTGTCACCAGGAGGCCACGCCCACCCCAAACTGTCCCTGGTTATTAAAGAGGACCTGTCATCAGATATATTGTAACCATAACCAAGTCATGTGACCCCTCCAGGTATTCATTACCCCTCATAGAGATCACAGCACCCTCCCCTCCCTCCCCCCCTGACAATGTCTTCATCTGGTTCTCTCTCCAGAAAGTTGGCATCATCTCTGTTCAGCCATCACCCGGGGTCACCATCCACTTCCTGGACTGAGATGGTGGCTCAGAGAGGGCACAATCATGTAAATCCTGGTGTCTGTGCAATTCATGGTTGTGTTTACACTGGGGGAGGGGAGACTGAGGAAATGCTTCCTCCTTGCCTGCAGCAGACTGATCACAGGGGAGGAGAGACTGAGGAAATGCTTCCTCCTGCCTGCAGCTGACTGATCGCTGGGGGAGGAGAGACTGAGGAAATGCTTCTTCCTGCCTGCAGCAGTCTGATCACTGGGGGAGGGGAGACTGAGGAAATGCTTCCTCCAGCCTGCAGCAGACTGATGACTAGGGGATGGGAGACTGAGGAAATGCTTCCTCCTGCCTGCAGCTGACTGATCACTGGGGGAGGGGAGACTGAGGAAATGCTTCCCCCCTGGCTGTAGCAGACTGATCACTGGGGGAGGAGAGACTGAGGAAATGCTTCCTCTTGCCTGCAGCAGACTGATCACTGGGGGAGGGGAGACAGAGGAAATGCTTCCTCCTGCATGCAGCAGACTGATCATTGGGGGATGGGAGATTTAGGAAATGCTTCCTCCTGCCTGCAGCAGACTGATCACTGGGGGAGGAGAGACTGAGGAAATGCTTCCTCTTGCCTGCAGCAGACTGATCACTGGGGAGGAGAGACTGAGGAAATGCTTCCTCCTACCTTCAGCAGACTGATCACTGGGGAGGAGAGACTGAGGAAATGCTTCCTCCTGCCTGCAGCTGAATGATCACTGGGGGAGGGGAGACTGAGGAAATGCTTCCTCCTGCCTGCAGCAGACTGATTACTGGGGGAGGGGAGACTGAGGAAATGCTTCCTCCTGCCTGCAGCTGAGGACGGCTATTTGATGATAAAAAGGAATAAATACATAAAAGATATGAAGCTGATGAACGCTCCAGATGCTGTTGCGGAGGTTTTATTTGGTCTGATAAGTAGATCCAGGAAACGGGAGATTGGTGAAGGAGGAAGTTCAGCTGGAGAAATAAATCCGAAGCAGGTCCCTGGCTGAGTCCGAGGTATCCACGGCAACGACGGGATGAAAAAGAACCAGACGGGAGTCACATGACATCTGATGGACCAACTACGAACGAGGAATTCATGAAGCGTGACGACTCCGAAACAGATCTTCTCATGAATTCTGTGAGCCCCCCAATGCCATTCGCGTCTGCGAGCCCCCCAATGCCGATGTGTCTGCGAGCCCCCCAATGCCGAGGTGTCTGCGAGCCCCCCAATGCCGAGGTGTCTGCGAGCCCCCCAATGCCGAGGTGTCACAATACTTTTCATGAATACTTTTGGACGAACTTTCGTTGCAGCAAAGTGACATAAACATTTTTCTTTAAATGTCACTTTGCTGCAACGAACAGGAAACCAGAAGTCGCACAGAATCCCGCTAACGAATTTCCTCCGAATCTGAATCCCGAAACGAATTGACTTTCGGACCCGAATCCCAAAAAACGAAATAACGCAAAATCCGAATCAGAACGAAATGGAACAATTTTTTTGCCGGTACGCATGTCTAGTTCTGTGTATTGAAGTATAGGGGGCTGTGTTGTCACCACTTCTGGTTCAAATTCCCGGCCAGGACACTATCTGCATGGAGTCTGCATGTTCTCCCTGTGCTTCCCTCCCACACTCCAAAGACATACTGGAAGGTTCATTGGTCCTCCATACATTGACCTTCCCTGTGTAAAATGTCAGCACTATATAAATACCAAAAATAAATAAACGCATGACGTTTATAAACTAACATCCTTGTTTTAATCTTTTTCCTGAGAACAGTGGACAACGTCTGTGCAATGTGTGCTGAAACAGCCTCTTGTTCAATGGAACCCTGTGTGACATGATAACAGGAAGTGTCTAAACAAGGACAAAGCGTTGTCACTCTATAACAGAACGTGCCTGAACAAGGGCAGAGCGTTGTCACCCTATAACAGGAAGTCTCTGAACAAGGACAGAGCGTTGTCACCCTATAACAGGAAGTGTCTGAACAAGGACAGAGCGTTGTCACCCTATAACAGGAAGTCTCTGAACAAGGACAGAGCGTTGTCACCCTATAACAGGAAGTGCCTGAACAAGGACAGAGCATTGTCACCCTATAACAGGAAGTGTCTGAACAAGGACAGAGTATTGCCATCCTGTAACAGGAAGTGGCTGAACAAGGGCAGAGCATTGTCACCCTATAACAGGAAGCCTCTGAACAAGGACAAAGTGTTGTCACCCTATAAGAGGAAGTTCCTGAACAAGGATAGAGCATTGTCACCCTATAACAGGAAGTGTCTGAACAAGGACAGAGTATTGCCATCCTGTAACAGGAAGTGGCTGAACAAGGGCAGAGCATTGTCACCCTATAACAGGAAGCCTCTGAACAAGGACAAAGTGTTGTCACCCTATAAGAGGAAGTTCCTGAACAAGGATAGAGCATTGTCATCCTATAACAGGAAGTGCCTGAACAAGGACAGAGTGAATATAATATTCTATAATCATGAGATTGTATAGTTATCTCTGCACAGTATATAGACATAATAATACATATAGAGACCATGTGATGGGGGGAATGTTTCATACATTATAGAGATCTCTGGAAGGAACGGATACAAACACACAATCTCCGACAATCATTTGTAATATAGAAACAATCAGAATTCATGTTTATTTGTGACATTCGGAGGATTGAGGACGACGTGTCTCGGAGCGGCCGGTGCGTGTGACAGGAGGATGAAGAGGCCGTCAGTGTCTGACGCCCGGGATGTGATGGGGTCACCTTCTTCCGGCACACATTGAAGGGTGATGGACGTGGGGTCCTCAGGTCTCTGCCTCTCCGTGTGATGTATTCTGGATCCTCGCCGTGTTATTTTATTGTATCAATAGCAACAGGAAGTCCCGGAAAGTCCTCATCATATCCTGGATGAAGAGAACCAGAACATGGCTAGGACCTTCATCCAGTGT